AAATCGAGAGGCCCCACATCGACCACTACAAGTGCCTCAAGATAGCTCCTGATTTTCTTGTCTAAGTTTTGAAATGAAACCCGTGATCTTTGTTGCAAACAGTATCAATGTGAATCTTGATTACTATTGCCATGTGTCTTTTGAGTAACTTTAGTGTGTTTTTATCCTTGTTTAGTAATTCCTTTTGTGAAATCTGAAATGTGAAGACGGTGTTTCTTAAACTGGTTGTGCAGAATATGTTTTAAACTTTTGTTCTTTCATGATGCGGGCACTGGTTGACAGCAATGCTCCTCTTGGTTGGTCAATCCTGTTTTATTGCTGTTATTTTTTCTGTTTGAGTAGAGACAAGCAATTCTAAACTTTGTACCGATGTGGCATAAAAAGTAAAATGAAGAGAAAGACAAAATACTGAATGTGCAGTTAAATTTTCTGACAGCACCTAGTGCTTTCATGAACCTTGATGGAGAAGAGTTACAAATTTGTAGCTGTATAGTTTTATTCAGTTAACCTTCTCTTTTTATATATTGTTGTTTCTAAAAGAAAGGATATGATGGCTTTGTAAAAGGTCTGAGTTAGAAAATATGTTTCTTAAGCTAACATGGGGATAAAGGAAGAGGGCCCTAGCCCTTGCATAAGTATAGCACTGTGGCTCTCGCAACCTCTTCTACAGCAATTGTTTCGTGGTATCATGAAGTGGGCTTGATTATAAGGCGTGGACTTCATTCGGAGCATGAATGTTTGCCTAGATTTCTCCCAACATTCTTAACCTAATGTTTGCTTAAGAAAACCATGTTTTCTGCATGATCACATCATTATTGCTGATCCTTTCTTGAAACAACTTATTCCGCTCTCAAATCAACTTTGCTGAGGTGTTATTTTCTAGTGCAACTTTGCTGCAGTAGATTCCACCTTTTACCATCGATGAAACTTTGCAATGATTCATCCAATTAGTTTCATATATGGTTTATTGAACTTTGCTGATCCTTGCTGATATAAACATGCAGCTGCAGTAGATTCCTCTTCTTGTTTCCATTAAAATCCACCCATTAATTTTACCTTTTCGCTTTTAAAGCTAATATATATTTGTCAGCATCCCTGTTGTGTCCAGAGAATCTTCCCCCAGCGCCCGCAACCTGTGTTGCTCACTATTTTTCACATGTTTAAAGTAGAATGTATGGCTGCATGTAGTGAACTTAGTTTTACGTGGCATTGAATCGTCTGTGGTCATGCACACATGGAGCAATGAAAACATTTGACTTGGGACAAAGCTAATACTAGCCCTGTGCATGGGTGGGTTAACAACTTAACATGGGTTTGGGTCAATTTTGGATCCACCCATTTATGGACTAGTTTAAATGGATTGGGTTGGGTTGGGTGGGTTACTCGGTTCCATGGGTATACAAATGCAAGTAGATACCTCACTAATCATGGTGTGTTGTTCGTCCCAAGATCTGCTGCTTTTGCCGGGCAAATCGGCTAACTGCAGTTCCATGTTGACTAGGTCCGGCACCCACGTCAGGAGCCGCTGCTGGCACCTTGGGCGGGACGTCATCAATATAGAGGATACGTGCAAGGTCCATGGGGACCAGGAACCCGGTGTAGGAGCGTGCCGGGTGTGGCGCTTGACGTCGCACCCAGTGGGGCGCGCACACGACGCAGGCAGGCACAGGCATGGGCACGGGGACGTGCCTGTGCCTGCCCTGTGACGTCCCCTTGCACGCCGCCACCGCGTGCGCCCACAAGCATGCCCTGCTCTATGAGCGCGGTCGCGCGTTGCGCCGTCCACCGGGCCTCCCGCCGCGCGTTGTGCGCCCGACCCGCTAGGTGCGACGCCAAGTGCCACGCCTAGCGCTTGGCTCGCTCCTACACCGAGTTCCCGATCCCCGCCGACCTCGCGCGTATCCTCTATATTGACGACCTCCCGCCTAAGGTGCCGCCGGCGGTAGGGCTCCGGGAACCTCCTGACACGTGGGTGCCCGACCTAGTCAACGTCGAACCGCAGTTAGCCGATTTGCCCGGGTGCCCTACATAGTCAACGTTGAACTGTAGTCAGCCAATTTGCCCGGCAGCAGCATCAGATCGCACTATGATGAAAATGAGGTATCTACATACTGCTTGCATTTGTATACCCATGGAACCGAGTAACCCACCCAACCCAACCCAATCCATTTAAACTAAGTCTATAGATTGGTGGATAAATTGATCCAAACCCATGTTAACCCACCCATGCACAGGGCTAGTGCTGGGCGCAGACTGTCGTCTGCCGCGCCCCCGGCAGCTGCAGGTGCAGGTGGCCTGTCGTCCCAGCCGCCCCCGTACATGGTGTGCCGCCGGCCGGCCACTCCGACCTAACCAGTGTGCGTGTGACCCAGTACAGGCACACTCCGCACCATGGGACACCGTACTGTTTGGCCTGGGTATCGTTGTGTTTTCAACCGTATATTGGGTGGGTTACTCGGTTCCATCATAGTGATGTTGGGCCTCTCCTCGCTCTTGCACCTGCCTCACCACGTCGTTGACATGGGAGCGACTCTGGCCGTCGAGCAAATCCATGGGTCTAATGGGTGCTTACCCATATCCACCCAATCGATATGTTGATTTGTATCACGGTCTGGGTGGGCTTTAGATGAGTGGATTGGGTGGATAACACGATCCGTGCACAGGCCTAGCTAATACTGACATGTAAAAAAGAACGGTAGTAGTATTGTAATGAAATTGCACACATGTAAGCTATTTTTCACATTTGACTTAGGACAAAGCTAATACAACATGTAAAAAAGAATTGTCTGTGATCATGCACACATGGAGCAATGAAATTGCGCAAGGACATAGCGGAACGTGTGGCACAGCTTGACATTGTGGTCACAAACAAGCTTGCTAGGCTTCGCTGCCAGGAAGGCTAGCAGAGTATATGCAGTAATAAAGATTGCAAGTTTGGTAAATTTGTCTGTAGGAAGCTGCCCTGATGGAAGATTTCCTTTTGTATTACCTATGTTATTCTGTTATATGGATTGTAATGACCTCAGCATAGAACAGCTACAATTCTGAATGATGCTCTGCGGTGATGCCTTATTATGAACCTGAACTGGTCCTGTTATGTTATTGAGCTCGGTATGAGAAACCTAACCTCAGTCGTTAAATTCTGCTTGTCCTATTTGTTTTGTAATTAGCGCAGGTACTGGAGGCTGCATTGTCATATTTAAGGTTGCAAGTGGGGTGGTTGTGCCACCAACCTGTTGGCCCATCCTGCATTGCAAGCCCCGCCTAACCCAGCAGTTCATCCTTCAAAACTGGGGCGGCTCTGCAAGCAATCTGATGTGCCAAATGGCGCAGCATAGCCCACAGCTTATAAGACCAAAAGAACTGACCTGCTAGAGGCATCACAGGCAGGCAGCTATATGTCTTGTTAATTAATATACAAACTATAGCTTGTTTTGTTGAATAAACTATTTGGCGTTCTTTTGAAACTGCATGCAATGTCACAAGATCTCATGATGAAAGAGGCATTGTTCTTATATTCTGGATCCATTTAGTCCTTTCTTCTGTACAGCTTATAGTTGTTTATTTTTTATATTTCTCCATGTTAGAAGAAAAAAAAATAAGCAGCTACAGTCTCCTATTCATGAATGAAGAATGTGGATTTTCTTTGTGATTATAATATTGCGATGCTAGTCTTGTGTTCGTATCTAGCTATATGGATTGGCGATAAGTTATTGGCACAAATTTGTGGTTATTGTAAGCTACCAACATATATTCATGACAAGTAGTGCCTTGTTTCCTAAAAAAAACAATGCCTTATTGGTTATTTCGTTTTTTTTTAAAAAAAAATGAAAATGTGTTCCTTTGCTTTTAAATATTTTTTCTGAAACTTTTTAATTAACTAGTTTGTGTTAGGATAAGATTGTTTTTGCTGATGTCAATACCTTTTGTGCTATTTTTCTTTTGTGATTTATGATTATACTATCAATAGCTCTTCATGCGTAACTCAGTAGCTATAGATCTTCGGGCTTGTTTGGTGGCTCCAATTGCCTGGATGAACAGCTGCTTCATCTTATCTCTTTTTTCTTAATTAACTACATGGGTTATGCAAACTTGACAAGTTGCTAAAATAATTATTTACTTTAATTTATCATGCTTTACTATAATTAAATATAGCAAAAAAAATATTTTAAATAATCTTATGAACTTAGAAAAAGACTAATACAAACAATTTATCTCGTAATGTACACTGGTCTTATTTAGATAATCCAAAATCAATTTACTTTAGTTAGTGTTCTCAGGCACAGGCATCATCCAAACACAATTTTCCAAAGTTGTCTTGCCAGGCAAAAATCGACTAACTTTACAGGCAACTCGCTCTTCATGCGGAACTATGTAGCGATAGAAGCGTTTTGAAGTCCGGGTGAGCAAGGGTCCGTCAATCACCACTAGTTGGCTTCAGGGCACAATTGCATCAAAGGCCTCAAGCACAGTGACAACCTGTGTTTTTCGCTTATGAACAGATTTAATTTAATGAGCTCTCGATGTCAACGATGCAGGCGTTCAGCTCATATCCTCCCCTATTATGAAGCAATGCTAACATTGTTACTTTACATCTCGCTCGTTTAATCATCCCCATGGGGCAATGCTAACATTGTTTCTTTACCTCGAGATCAATGCCAAACAATACACCTTTTCAATGCGATATCAGATCATGCAAATAGAGTGGTCGAGGTAGTGATGTGACCAACATACTTACAAATCTCCCAGAGAATATCAGGCCATCACAATATCCTTACCGTCCCAATGTCATTACACATTACTCATTAGAGTTTGTAGTACTTTGGTCACCGTCTCATGTCAGGTGATCCGTTGATCCATTATACAAGCTGGAAAAGTTGTGTTTACAGACAAGCTGTGCAGCCTCGATAGATGAACACCAAATAGTTACTATCTACTAATACCTTAAAAGCAACAGATTAAATTGTGGCATTCTGAGCTTTGATTTCTGGGGTCGTCATCTAAGTCAAGGTTTTCCCCAGATTCCTCCCAAATGGAGACTCAGGCAATCTGCTGCCAATAAGGTCCCGCAACTCGAACTCGCTAGGGAACCTCTGCTCAGCAAGTTTTGAGAATACCTAAAAAGTGGAAGTGATTTCAGTAAAATAATGAACGGGATGCAGAGGTTTTAAAATCCTTCTGTCATCTAGGAAGGCAAAAGGATGCCATGGAAGAAAAGGTGAAACAAAAACGTTGTAACTTCACAATAGAATTTGCGACATAACACATAAGTAATCCTAGAGATAGAACTAACTCATCCTTTTTCAAAACAGAGGCACTCCTGATATATAAAGCATTTTGCATCAAATCAACACAAAGGAAAAACGTAAGGTTGCATCTAACATAGGAAGCATACCAAATCTCCATTGCAGTAAACTTCAAAGGCACCAGAGCTTTGTAGAAAGGACTGAGCAAAGTTGCCAAATAGCCAGATTGTTGCCATGGTTCCGAATTTATTGGCACGAAGTGAGTAGTACCATGGAGGAGGAACCATTCCAAGCCTTGGGAAAATCTGGTCACCCGCCATTATTGTTGCAATGGCTCCAACTTGAACAATTGGGATAACTTTGCTGAGTACACGCTTGGGGAATGGAGGAGGATAATTACGCAAGATAACATGAATGCCAGGAAATGAGGTTTCCAGCATGCGCTTCGTGGTCACCGCAGTTCCCCTACAATGTAAAACAAAAAAAAGTATTCAGAATAACATGTACACCCTCTGTCCCAAAATAAATAATTTTCTAAATTTTTTCAGACAGATTAAAGATGCTGGCAAAAGACGCATGTACCCTCATCTCCTTTCCTTTCCTAGAGGATATCTCCAAGATTTGGCAATTATCATTTACATGCACCCGTGATTACGCATTAAGAGGCAGTGTTCCGTGTTTTTATAGAATGTTTTTTTGGGACAAATTTTAACCTCAGAAAGTTATTTATTTTGGGTTGTAGGGAGTATGTAGATGTAAAGCATAGGTTTTGAACTTCTATCGATGAAAGGAACGCCTGGGATCCCTTGCCTGGACCAGGCTCTCAGACATCAAACCAAACAGCCCCGTACTTTTCTTTAGCATGGTTCCTTCACCACTTATTAAGTTTCACTCCTAAAAAAGTTTTTTCCTGGCTCGTGACATTAGGTTAGATAATGGAGCGAGCAACAATACATGGTCTGAGTAAAGCAGCGTAATGATGTAGCGGAGCAGTGCTAGCTCAGTTGTGGGAAAAATCAAGAGGCACCAAGAGAAGCGAACAGGGCCAATGAGATAAAAAAAATAGCACTTATACAGTTGAAAATTGAACACAAGTGTCCAGGAAACAACCAGTATTTCACCTCCGCTTACCACCCTAAAACATTACTCATCCGTAGGGCCACCCCACAAATTTTCCATGCCAGCCATTTCTTCACCCAATCTTCTGGCCCATATATCTGAAGCCAACTATTCCCTCAAGTGCTAGCTAAGATCGCACGTTTATAAAATCCATTTTCAATCAAGTTGCAACAACAACAACGACAAAGCCTTTAAGTCCCAAACAAGTTGGGGTAGGCTAGAGTTGAAACCCAGCAGAAGCAATCAAGGTTCAGGCACGTGAATAGCTGTTTTCCAATCACTCCTATCTAAGGCTAAGTCTTTGGGTATATTCTATCCTTTCAAGTCTCATTTTATTGCCTCTACCCAAGTCAACTTCGGTCTTCCTCTGCCTCTCTTCACGTTACTATCCTGGCTTAGGATTCCACTACGCACCGGTGCCTCTGGAGGTCTCCGTTGGACATGTCCAAACCATCTCAACCGGTGTTGGACAAGCTTTTCTTCAATTGATGCTACCCCTAATCTATTACGTATATCATCGTTCCGAACTCGATCCCTTCTTCTATGACCGTAAATCCAACGCAACATACGTATTTCCGTGACACTTATCTGTTGAACATGTCGTCTTTTCGTAGGCCAACATTCTGCACCATACAACATAGCAGGTCTAATCGCCGTCTTATAAAACTTGCCTTTTAGCTTCTGTGGTACCCTTTTGTCACATAGGACACCAGATGCTTGGCGCCACTTCATCCACCCTGCTTTGATTCTATGGCTAACATCTTCATCAATATCCCCGTCTCTCTGTAGCATTGATCCTAAATATCGAAAGGTATCCTTTCTAGGCACTACTTGACCTTACAAACTAATATCTTCCTCCTCCCGAGTAGTAGTGCCGAAGTCACATCTCATATACTCAATTTTAGTTCTACTGAGTCTAAAACATCTGGACTCCAAAGTCTCCCGCCATAACTCCAGTTTCTGATTCACTCATGTCTGGCTTTCATCAACTAGCACTACATCATCCGTGAAAAGCATACACCAAGGGATGTCCCCTTATATGTCCCTTGTGACCTCATCCATCACTAAGGCAACCAGATAAGGGCTCAAAGCTGACCCTTGATGTAGTCCTATCCTAATCGAGAAGGCATCCGTGTCTCCATCAATTGTTTGAACACTAGTCACAACATTGTTGTACATGTCTTTAATGAGCCCGACGTACTTCGTTAGGACTTTATGTTTGTCCAAAACCCACCACATAACATTCCTTGGTATTTTATCATAAGCCTTCTCCAAGTCAATAAAAACCATGTGTAGGTCCTTTTTCTTCTCCCTATACCGCTCCATAACTTGTCTTATTAAGAAAATGGCTTCCATGGTTGACCTTCTGGGCATGAAACCAAATTGGTTCATAGAGACCCGCGTTATTGCTCTCAAGCGATGCTCCATAACTCTCTCCCATAGTTTCATAGTATGGTTCATCAACTTAATTCCCCGGTAATTAGTACAACTTTGAATATCCCCTTTATTCTTGTAGATCGGTACCAATATACTTCTCCTCCACTCGTCAGGCTTCTTGTTCGATCGAAAAATATGGTTGAACAGCTTGGTTAGCCATACTATAGCTATGTCCCCGAGGCATCTCCACACCTCGATTGGGATACCATCCGGTCCCATCGCCTTACCTGCTTTCATCCTTTTCAACGCCTCTCTGACCTCAGATTCTTGGATTCTCCGCACAAAGCGCCTATTGGTGTCATCAATTGATATTTACGGCTGGAAATGCAAGACATATGCGCTTCAAGTCAGCTTTTAGAGGGAGTTTCATTTTAGATTGCCTCACTGCTTTCTGTGGTTAAAAAATTTCTAAAGCACTGAAATTGGGGAGTGGTGTTTGTCTAATTATCAACTCTCCTGCCCTCAACGACACCATTAAAGCATGGACATACGTCAACAATCTGGTTTGTAAAATTATCAAGCCTGGCAGAATTACTGCAGTCAACTCAAATTGATCTCCGATTCTCCATACCATTAAAATTCTGTATTGGCTTGGGAATAACAATAAACAATAAAGCAAATCAACATAAGTAGGACTGTTGAAGAATTTTCAAGTGATAGCTTATGCTATTGTAGTAACATGAGGATAAGGTTTACATAAAAGATGCATTTCTCTAAATTTAAAGATAAGAACAAGACAACAAATTAAGAACCGGCTAAACTCAAACTATGAGGCCTACAATCGAGTACACAAAAGTATTGTTATGATATCTATTCATCTCATACAAAATGAATCATGCATGTCCACTCACTGTCATCCAACAGCTGACCTCCAGTACTTAGGATACTATGGGTGCAAGTTTGCTGACTTCAGAAAGCATTGACTAGAAAGAATGTCATCACTGATAGTTTAAATTCAGTGTGAATCCAAATCCAAAAATAGAAAAGAGTAAGAGGCTATTTGGAAGGTCAGTTTGGAGCTAAAACTCTTGTAAAATACATACCCATAAAATTTTACATCCGAACTTGTAAAAAGGTGTTTGGATGGAATCTAATCCAAAAGAAACTACTACCGGTTTAGACAAAAACACACAAATTTCTCCATGTTGCCACAACCCTCTTGATGCCAAGGCTATCACAGACAACACAAGGATGCACTGTGAGAACAGGACGTGAGGAAGTTCGGCAACCATGGAGATGGAGATGTTGGACCAGGCGACCTCAGCAACCAGCGCGATGGTCGGGGACGCTGCCACAGCCTGTGTCTGCAGACCTTGGCACCATCGAATGTGACACAACAAGAGAGCTGAGCAGACACGATATATGTGTGGTCCTTGTTCATGGCGAGCTGCAACCTGCAAGCAATTCAGCCCCTCTGCCCAAACCACCGCTCACTTTCATGCTCTCATGCTCCTTTCTAAATATGTTAGCTCTTCGCTTATGTCTGAATTTTCTTCTGTTATATCCAATTTGATGTTCTGTGTTCTGACTCTGAGCTCCACTACCATATTGATAGGGGGCCTCGATAGCTCCTGGGAATTCCATATGTACCCAAACTGACATCAATTTCACATAACTGTTCCTGACTTGGTTTGCTTTTACTGTCAGTTTAATTCACTAGCTGCTATAAGGCAAGGACGCAGGTTAGTTTCTACCTCTCGGCAATCCAACAGCAAATTACAGGCAGAAATGGATACAAGGAATTCCTAGTGCACAAGGAATTACAGGTGTAACAAATTTCAGCTGTAAAAAGATTGCTAAGTTGCCAAACAGGCCCTAAATATTTTACATTCACTAGAATCTTCTTCTTTCAATCTCTCTTGTCCTTTTTAAGGTCTTCATTAGACAATCAACACAGCCATGAAGAACAAGTGACGGACACCTATCCCTTCCCCAGTTCCCGCTATAATTTTAACGTACTACACATAAGAATCTGACTTGGTGTTATGTTACCAACTATTGTGTGTGATAAAATACCACAAACCCACAATAGCAAGTTAGTAACTATCCATGAACACACGACAGTCATAAATTCATCATTCCGTGGTGCTAGCAGTGAATTGGTGTGCCACCTGCCAAATAAACAACCCTACGCAATTCAAATCATGCCAGGGGTGGAGGCAAAACTGGGCTCCCTACCCCCACCCCTCCCCGTGCCAAAACAAAGAATTGAAGCACCAAGTAGACTCATGGCTTGAAGCCCACTGGATGACTGGAAGCTATACGCAACCAACAATGAAATCAAGTGGCACAATCCACTGCAAGCCTGCAACTAGCAAAAAGAAAACCTAGTAACCCACCACCATGAGTCCATGCTAACAATTCTCCCTGTCAAGTGGCCAAGCCCATCAGGTAACAAACAACAAGGTGCATGTACTCGGGGAGCCACATCCATGCTTGCAGCTAGCTGCAGCACTCAGTGGACGCCTAGTAGCTTCACCCCCCTCCCCTCACCCCCTCCTTTTTTTTTCAAATACTAGACTTGCTGGAAATGGTGAGTGAAGCCTAGTATGTAGTCATCTGAGATTCTCTACTAAAGAGTTGGTTCACACTAGAGATGCTTTGATGGTTGTCACCCTTCCCGGTAATGGATCACTGAGTATGGTTATTTGCAGAAAGCGCGCGACATTCCAATGTTCCTACATCAACTAGCGCATGTTCATCTGGTCCACACAACAAATAACCAAAGGAATTAAGCAAGCAACCACCAGTTCACGCAACCCCAAGACACAGTGGACGAGCGTCACGAGCGGTCTCACTTGTAGGAGCAGGAGGCGCAGAATTGCAGCTCCACTGTGCTGCCGAATCCAGCCTCATCCACACGTGGCTCCTGCAATTGCATCGAAGCAACAAGTCAGTTCGCCATCCAGATCGGAGACCGGGTCGCGATCGAATTCCACTAGGGTTCATGACCTACCTGTATAATTCCCGCAGAAGGGTCGGGGTGCTGGTGGTGGTGCGGCGAGTGGGGATGGTGCGGCGGATGCGGGTGGGGATGGTGTGGCGGATGCGGGTGGTGATGGTGCGGCGGATGCGGATGATGGTGGTGAGGAGGGTGGCGGAGGTGGGGAGGCGGTGGCGCGAAGATGTGAGTGAGGTCGGAGAAGAAGAGGAAGGCCGGGAGTCCGACAAGGAGCAACTGCGCGCGATCCATGGCGCGTCGCGGCGGAGAGACGGCTTGGCTCTGCTACTGCCTGGGCCGCTGGGCGTCTCCGGTCTCCGTCTCTCTCGAGACGCGGGCTGAAGGAGGCAGGGTCGGAGTCTCGCAGTCACAGGGAGAAAATTCAATGGCTCCGTTTTCGTGCCCTTAAACCCGACTCGATCCGTTTCTTTTTTCATCCGGAATCGTGTTTTTCTCTCACAAATTCCTCCAGCATTCCTCTAAACCATCCAAATTCCTCCAGAATTCCTCCAAACGAACAGGCCCAATATTTAACGTCGAGTTCCCAAGCCTCACAAGATATTTGACATTCAATGCGTCTGTCTTTCAAAATTGGACAACCGAATCACGAATTGCTTTGATTTAAAGGATTTCACCCATTTTCTCTTATTTTTCTTTTTATGTAATGTTTTCACCTCTCCCGTTATCTGAACGGACCAAAGTATCTCTTTCCTAATAGAACACACAGATCTATTTTCTTTCCCGGATTCCGTTGACGCGAGATGGACGCGAGCCCCCTCCGCCGCCAAGCAGCTCTCTCCGTCGGTCCGCCGCCCTTCCTCCTCCCCTCCCAGACCACCCTTGTAACACCCTCGGTGTTTGGCTTCTACTAATTGCATTTCGTCTCATAAACATGTGCATCATCTATCTCATCATGTCATTTTCCCTGAAACATACATATGAAACATTCGCATATTCTGTTTGTCTCGTACTGGATTGCTTGGGAATGGTAGTAGTGCAACATATGAATGCAACATGAATTTCCCATGTCTTGAAGCATGGCAACATGGTAGTAATGTGACAAGTATAGGATAACAACAAGGTCATGCAACATGTGAAACATTGTATTGAAACATATGTATGAATTGCTTGTTTTACTTTCTTTATCACATGTGATCAGTAGAAGTGGTATAACAACTTTGTAAAATGGGTAATCATGGTCTAATACACCTTAACTATACTTAGTTTACTTGTTGGAACATTGTTCATGTAGACCAAAATGACCAAAATGTCCTCAAGTGCAAGTTTGACTTAAATTGACCCATGGAGTGTCATCGTTTGACTGATTCAAAAGTCCAACTTAGAAGCTTTGCATGGCTGTGCACTTTTTACAAAAGTTGTAGCTAATTTATCAAGGAACAAAAGTTGTTTTATGACCAACTCATGAAAATGGCTAGAACATGCTTAAACATGGCCCACAAGTCAGAAGTACATGCTGATTTCATACTTAGCAAATTTTTCTAAGTCCCAAGCAGATTTCAGTTTCATGAGCTGATGTTTGGAGCACTGTATCTCACTGACCAAGCCAAACTAGCTCGAGCTCCAATTAGCAAACTTGTAGTACTCATGTAGGTCCCCAACTTTGTTAACTACGACTTAACCTGGATCGCCACGGATTAGGAGTTAATGATGGTCGAATGGGGGTATTTGTCGGTCATCGAATTGAGCCTTTGAATCAGAGCTACGGTGATCAAGTTTTAGAAAAACGACGCCGCGTGTCCGCCACTCATCGCCGGACTCCTGCTCGCGCTGGCCACGCGCCGTGCGCCTTCTGGCGTCGTAGCCGTGTCTGAAGTCACCCAGCGCGCTGCCAACGCACTCGCCGTCCCATTTCATTTTCCTCGCCTCCCGCCAGTGACAAGCGAATCGAAGCCGCACCGCCGCCATTGCTCCGCCTTCGCCTCGCTTGCTCGTCGCTGCAAAAACGCGCCGGCCATCTCGCTGCTAGCGCTGCCGTGATCTCCTCTGTCACCCCCACCCCTCAGCCAGGTCGATTGTGCCTTGGTAAGGATGAATTCGTCATTTCCTTCCACCACAGCCATGGCGGAAGTTCGTCGGAGTTGGCGCCCACGCGCACCGTCTGTCGCGCGACCTTTCCACCCTCCTATGCTGCGCAGCTAGTCCGATGAACACCACCGGCCCGTGAAGCGCCCACCGTTAGGGGGCTGCGATGCCGTATCGTCGCCGGGCCGGCCGTGCGTCTGCGTGGCCGGCGCCGCCGTGCTCGTCGCCACCCCTCCTAGTTGCGTCGATAGCTACAAATAAGGGTTCCCCTAGGTCTGCTAGGTTGAGGCGAACCCGTGAGGCACCGGCTGGTCTCATGGGAGAAGCCCACCGACGGCGAGAGTCCGCCGTCGTCTTCCTCCGCCTCTCCCATGCATCTCGGCCGACAAGCGGTCCGGCTTTGTCACTGGGCCGAGGCTCAAGCGGGAGTCCAGCTCGGGCCGCGCCGTCGGCTTGGGCCGGCCTTTGTCAGGCTCGTGGGCCGCCGCCTTGGGGCCAGCCCACCCGATGGCAGTTAGGTTTTTATTTTGTTTTGTTTAGCTGCTTTTTCACAGTTTTGGTGCACCATTTCAGAAATAGGTAACTCAAGTTTGATAGATCCAAATGATGTGGTTCTAATTTTGTTGGGTTCCTGGTCATGTCTAGTATTTAACAAAAATATTATATGAGCACCTGTTTTAGAAATTTTAGATGAATTAATTAGGACTTTGAAATGTGTTTTTAGATGCATGCAAATTTGTTTGAATTTTATCTTGAGTTTCTGTGGTCCAAAAATTATGAAATTTTGTGGGCAGTCTGTTATTGCTTATTAGAAGCTATGGTAAAAATTTTAGAGCTAGTGCATGTGTAGTTTTTAAGTTATAGAATTTCCTTTTATTAATGGGTGGATCTTGTGTGAATTTTCATAATTTTTCTATAGATCCAGTGTAGGTGAAATTTGATGGGTGCTATTCTTATGCTAGAATGAGGCTAGGAAAAATGGGAAATCTATTGCTTGATACTTTTTAATAAGGTTTCCTAATTAGGCTAGAAATAGACATGTCATCTGTTATTTTGGATACAGCAAGTTATGTTGGTCCAATGGCTTTGAAATTTTTATGGTAGTCTATGTGCAGCATGAGATAGCTACTGTAATTTTTGTAGATTTTTATGAATAGTTTTACTATATATTGTTTAAATCACCTAATTAACTAAATAAATTGGAAAAAAATATTAAATAAATTATTTAGAAGTTGGCACTATACTTTCTGATGTTTCTTAGGTATGAAAAATAAGTTGGTAAACTTGGTTTGGTCAAATTAGGCTTTTGCATCATCGTTAAATAATTAAGTTAGCAACTCTGTCATTTCTGGACAGATTCTAAGTTTGCTGGAATTTGATTTGGTTAACTTAAGAATCATGCTTTGATGTTTACAAATGAATTGTAGAGAATTCCATGAGCTTTCCAGAATGTCCTCTTGCAAGTCATTTGGAGTTATAGAACTCTGGTTATGATAGAATTAAGTTACTACTTGTTGCATATGAAGCTTTAACTGTTATTTTAAGTATGTCTTTACTATTCTAAGTTTATGGTACTGTTCCTAGGTGTTAGGCCTTTAACTGAAGATGAGCATCTTTATCTTAGGTTATGCAAGTTAGGTAAGTTGCTCTTGTTATTTAAGTTAAGTTGGATACATGCTTAAAGTTGGATACATGCATATTAAGCCTCCTATTTTCCGAACTGCAGTTACAGTATTATTATTACATATATATTGTTGCATTAAGTTTAGGTGTTGGATGCAAACACTTGCTGCATTGGTTACCCATTCCTTGTCCAGATATTGTTACCCTGAATTCTATGTAGCTCAGGCTCGAGTAGTGCTTAGCCCTGCTTAAACGCGGTAGAAGTCGGGTGATTTCCTGTCACCTGCGAGATATAGGATGATACATGTGGCACGGTTGGCTATATTTGCTATCGTGGAAAAGAACCAGTCTTAATTTAAAATGAAGACCGGACGAGGCTTGCCGGTTTGCACGTGACTCCGTCTGTGTCGCTTAAGGACCGATTCTTGGAGCCTTTCTGTTCATGTTGAACGATGCCTCTCTCTTAGTTGGCGGGTGCGGAGACCGACCACGGGCCGAGTAGCTCACCTTAGGGCCGGAGTCGATAAGTATAAAGTGCGCCTCGGAAGGGAGCCGAGGCGTGAGTCCAAGGGAGGTGATTTAAAAGTTCGATCGTCCTGGCGGAAGGGTAATCCCGAGAGTCTTTGTTGATCGAACCCGCTGAATTTGGTTCCTGAGATGTTCCAAAGGTGACCCATGGCTACCCTCGCAAAGTATGCCAAGGTGAGAGTTAGGAATACCCCCTCAGCTGAGTTGTAATTCGATTCGAATCGCCGTCTCTCCCGGTTAGTGAGAACTTGACGGGCTTATCTCCAATGTAGATACACTTAATATCTTAATGGTTCAGAAATGATAATATGATGATGACAGCCTTATTATACCTGCTATGGTTAATATTGTTTGCTCCTAATAAGTGAGTGCTCTAGTACAGGTGCTAATTTAGTGGACAGGTAAATAATGATAAGCTTGATAATAAGTTTAAATTGGTTACTATAATCATAAGCTCTTTTATGCAACTGTGTCAAGCTAGCCCACCTGAAAAGCCTTGCATGATCCTTGGTGTCTTTTATTTCTGATTTTTGTCGGGTAAGTCTAGCTGAGTACCTTCTCGTACTCAGGGTTTATTTCTCACCTGTTGTAGATGACCGGCTCTTCTTTGGTTGTTGCAAATCGCCTTCTCCTCTTTGGGGATGAAGACTAGACCGTTGGGCGCGGTCTCTACTAGTTCTCGTACCTGATAATGCTTTTGTGGGACATGACTCTGATCTGGCAATGTATTTAAAACTATGGAGTTAAGTACTAAACTATGTTGCTTCCAGCGCATTCAAACTTGGTTTGTAATATTTTATTTGAACTCGATGGATGTAATCCGAATGCTACTTGTGAAATGTTGTAACGAATGATGTGTTGTGTTGAATCATTACGATCTTGGTTTGTATGTCGAGAGTTGGTTGAAATCCTTCGTGATTTCCGGACTCACGGGATTATGGGAGCTTAAATACGTGAATTTGATCGCCGGTGATTGTTTTTGTACTTACGTTCTTATGATTTGGTCGGTCTTACATTACGGTGGCATCGAGCAAGATTTGACACTAAACACGTCATTT